TTTCAACAAGTGAGAGGTAAGTAATGATCTAAGTGAGGGCGAAGCGACACGAGGCACAACGAACAGCGGTCGCAAAGACTGGAAAATGACGGATACTCCGCTCCTTATATAATAGTAGGGGGGAGGGGGAGCGGAGTTTCCCGCCAAAATCCATTAGCGGTTAATCTTCCGGCCAAAGGCACTGCGCAGGCGCAGAACCCATATATGTGATGCACAGAGGCCACAACGAAGAAATACAGTGACACCCGAGGAAGAGGAATTGGTCGTCTTTGGCATAGTCTACCTAGTTCACAATTAAGACTAAGGCATCACAGGGTCTGCAAACAGCTTTGGGATGTTCTCTTCGAGGTGCAGACAGATACATTAAAAGTGGCTCTTTGAGTACCAGCCCTGTGCTCATGTGCAACTCCAGTTCTTGGAGCTCTATGAGTGAGATGCCATGGCTCTTTATGCATATGGATTGCTTCAGTGGAGCACAGCCAGTGTGTTGGAATAGGCGATCATCAGACTGCTACAAGGGCTGGCGACTTCAGTGGAACAGTCTGCCTTCTCTTTAATGGTAGTGAGAAAAGGCCTGGGCTTAGGCCTAGAAATGAAAAAGGCACCAGTTGCTTGTTTTCTATCTAAGAATGGGCAAATCAGCAAAACTTGAGCTCACTGAAGTTATCCAAATTCCATCTCAGCTCATTCCAACTTGAGTCCCCATTAGATCACAAGTTTTGACCTTTCCTTTACATATGAAAACCCATGCCTATTTTTCCAATTTACGTATCAATCATACATCTCTGAAATATATGCATTCTTCTCCCATTGATTTAAGTGTATTTGTATGCATTTTTCAAAAGTACAGATATAACCAAATGCAGTTTGATAATTGCACAAGAAAGTTGAATGGACTTCAGCTGAAGAGTATCCCTGGTCTTTGTTTGGCCTGGGGTGTGCAAACTGGGCAAATAATTTTCAAAACCAAACTGAAACAAATTCCTCATATATCTATATTTCTAACTTTATATTGACTGGATTCAGAAGACACAATAATCCACACTCAGTGGTTGAGTGTGAGTTGTTGCTGAACCATGGGCTGTTGTTGAATTGAAGGTTATTGTACTGTCTGAACCCACCTGAAATAAGCACAATGAACAACCCACAGTTTACAACCCAACAGCAAACATTGGATTTTCTTCATGGGTTGCTTGAGGTTAAGATGTCATGGCTTGTTAGTGCTGAGTTAGCTGAGTTCATGACAACCCACTTTTCAACAACCAGCCACACTCAACTCATACACATTATCTGAATATAGGCACTGTACTTTTACAGTGCAGGAGAAATCCTGCATGTCATTCTTGTATCCTGAAGCACTTGATACATAAAAATTTCCTAAAGCAACATGATGTTTCAGAAAATCTAGCAGTGAAACCTTCAGAACTTTTATCTGTTGTGCAGAAAGTGCTATTTTAGTTAAACCTCGTACCATGTATGGTTAACAAGAGTTCATTCTTATGAAGGAAAAAACAGAGAGTAGAAAACAGCCCTGCACGTTAATATTCGTCAAAGATTGGTAAAACTTGCACACTCATCAATTAGCGTTGGCTAGAGAATAAGGGTGGGAGAGGGCAGAGCTGTAGGATACCAGAGTGTGGTATACCTTTGTACACCAGTTGTTGCTGCACTCATATTCCGCCTTTGGGATCCTTTGAGCAGATGGTTGCCCATGGTATGAGCTGAATACTGGACTAGGTTACTGGACCCTTGGTCTGATCCAGTATGGCATTTCTTATGTTCAGCAGCACAAGATCCTGACCTGGAAGAAAGTCTGCTAGAGCTAAGCTGGATCATTGAGCTGCACATCTAAAGCAACTCCAGGCCTCTGCTAATGAAAATTATTGGGTATGACCTGCAAAATGCATGCGGTCAGAGCTTAGCCACTGACCCTGGTTGCGTGATCAAAATCAGGGGGTGTGCCCCATTCCCGCTCTCATTGCCTGGCTTGTTGTGCTATCTGAACCTGGGTGGCATGACTTGTTGGAGGAGAAAGCAACCCTTCACTAACCCTACAGCAGCCCATGGGTTATTTGAGTGTTGTTTCTCCTCCAAAAAGCCACACCACACAGATTTTGATGATACAACAAGCCTCACCCAGGCAGTGATTACGCAAATTGCACCTGGCAGGCACCATGATTTAAATAAGCCACTATGTGAACTGGTACAGTGCATGGATCTTGTGCATGAATGCACAAGCCTGGCATGTAAGGTGCAGAAGGGGACATAACCGATCGGGTCTTGGCTATGTCTTCTCCCATTGTGTTCTTAACTGATTCAATTTTGACGTCATATTTTAACACAGGTTTTATTTTACTTTGCACCTCATTATTGTTACCCACCTTGAACCCCACTGGCCGGAAGCAGGCATAAAAAACTAATGATCAGTTTTCACTGACCAGCTTTTTTTGATCTAGCTGTTCCCCAGCTGCACTAACGCTTTGTCAATTCTTATGCTTAGAACACTTTTAAAATGACTACTTCGTTAACTAAAGCGTGATGGTATCCCCTATAAGGCAACTGATACGATAGCTTGTGCATGTTCCACCAAAAGACTGAAAGGAAGCCCTTTGGCAGAACAGAGTACCTTGTTCCAAAGCGATTCAGCAAATCCATGGCAGTGCAACATGACAGCTTTTAGAAGACGTCAGTGGTGCGCCCTGTTTAGTCAATAATGAATATCTGCAGACTTCATTTATGTGATCTGTTGGATCCACCCCTTTACACTATCTTAGCCTCTGCCTACAAGACTATTCCCTCCCCTCCCAATTAAGAATGTACACTGCTGGGCCACCCAGAGAAGCTTCTCCTACCAGCTCTCAAAACAAACTACTTTGTATCTTTGCTTAGGTAAGAATACACAGTTGTTTAGCAAACTCTTGTCTAAAGGCCTTTTATTGCCTTATACAAGCCACTGTCCCCCTCCCACAGCGCTCATCGCCTTTCAGATGGGCAATAAACTCCATGCGATCCTATTACATATATTTTTATTAGAGTGATATATTTTATTGCTTTAATAAAGGATTGTGGAGAATGTGTTCTAAAAGTACTTTATGGAGTTTGTGCCAATTATGGCAGATGGGTTTTTAACCACTCTTAAAACTTAACAGGCTGAATGACGGGACTCTCTTGTGACTGCAAATGCTACCCGCACCTGCACCACCACAGACCCCGGATGGCATGGGAGGTCCCCCGCGCATGGGCCCGCCAGCATTACCCAGCGCAAGGGAAGGGGAACTACGCAAACAGAGGGTGCTGCCTCCTATTCTTCACTGTGCTTCGACAGTTCCCGACAGGTTTATGTTCATAAGCTGATTATACGGGGCAAAAGGGAACATTTCCCATAAATTATCTTTCTTTTCTTTTGCTATTTGATGAATTTGTTTAACAATGTGTGTATGCTTAACATGATTTGGTTCACTCTTTCCTTATTTACCTGCTACATATTGGCTCATTTGTTATGATGAATTTCGATTTTGTGTATTATTATTTCTTATTGGAGAGGAAAAACATGTCATTTGTTTAAAAAGATTTGCCTGTGTTCATTTACCTTGGACAATTCAGATAGCAACATGGGGGAAGGGAAGGGAAGACAGGTGGAAGCATGAAAATAGAATAACTTGCTGGATCCCGGGCAGGTAACTGGAGTGTGTGAGGACAGAACTAAACACTAAAAGGGAACTGTGTTTCCACCTGGTAACTCTAATGCAATAAAGCATTAACAGAGGAAACTGGAGGATGGGAGGTTACTGATCTTTCCTCCACACCACCTCATTTACCCCTTGCAAATGTCCTTCATGCCTCCCATGCTAGTTTCTAATTTCACCTACCCCATGGGCTCTAAAATCTTGCAAATCCAGCAATGCAGGTGGAGAGGCCCCGGAAGGAATGGAGTGGGCTTGCAGAGCTGAATCAGAAGCAATGAGAAGAGCATAGTCCCTCTCCTTTCCATGCATTCTCCCCTATACATGTTTCTTCTGCATTCTTGGTATCTCAAGAAATGCGTGACTAGGCTGAAGGTCTGCAGAGATCACTAGTTCTTTCATAAGGCTGTTTTCTCACTATGAAATGGGCTGAACCAGAAACGGGTTCCAAACACTCATGTTCACATCACACACTGATAGCAAAGGAAAGGCAACATGTTGACAGCTGGCAAGCAAATCGTATGATAGTTGGCAAGTGAATTCCAGCGTGAACCTTTCATCAGTGGAGAGTGAACCACTCAACATGTCTCTCTAATCCTTTGTCTGCTACTTTTACACATTACAAAATCAAGGAACTGCTGGACTGCTTTTGACACACACAAATACAGTTGCTTCTGTCTCCGCATGGGAGATGTTCCAGGGCAACGTATGGCCATCAGGTGCTCTCTTTCTGAGTAGGGTGCTGTGCCCAAAGTAAGAAATGTAGCAGCTCTCCAGTGAACAAGGAGACTCTAGCCTGCAACTGCTATACCCAATTACAGTCACGCAACCATTTCCAAAATAATTTTGCCTGGTGGCAGCAGATCTCAAAACCCCAAGGAACACATCTATTCCAAGGTACCATATATATTGGCATACAAAGCAATGCACAAGTAAGACAAGGTCAGTACTTTGGGCTGTTTTTCTGATGTTTGTCATATGCCAGGAGTATAAGTTATTGCTTTGCTATTTTTGGTTTCAAGGGTCATCTTATATGCCAATAGATACGGTATTTTTCTGTGATCGTTCATCACCTAGTCAATGGTGTTCCTTCCCCCACCACCACACACATACTGTACCATTGCACACAAAGGTATTCAGCATAAACTCTGGGGGAAGGTGACTTCAGGAAGCACCTCCTTCACTTCCATCCCAACCAACCAAGAATTCCTCCTATCCTGCATTTCTTCTATTTCTCTTTGGCCAGAAGATGGGGAAGGAGGATTTTGCATAAATAGCCACCTGAAAGCTGTACCTAAAGGCCCTGCTGCCCCTTACCTCGTCCTTGTACTTGGTGATGTATGAGTAGATCTCGTGCAGCGCACTCATACTGTTGAACTGGCTCAGGTGTAACCGTGACTGCTCCGCCAGGTAGGCGCTCATGTCTTGGTCGCTGATTGCTGGCATTTTAGCAATATCTGCATAATATCTACAGCAGGAAGCAGGAGAGACAGATCACGTGGTTGGAAACAGAGAAGTGAGGGGAGGAAGGACAAATCTGGGCACTTAAAAGAAACAGAACCAACAGACCTCTGGATTTATTACAATAAAGCTATTGATTACATTGGAGCAAGGGGGTATTATGGGATCAGCTTCAATGGTCTTGCCATTCCTGCCTTCCGATTCCAATCACAGAAGCACAACCAAGAGAATATTGTGTTACACATCACAGAAACGTCTGTATTTTTTCATGAGAGGCTTGGGCTGGGTAGATTAGTTGAAGGAAACATGGTGGTCAGCTGAGTTTGTACAGAAACACAAGTGACAGGCTCCGATGAAGTTGGTATCTGGAGGAACCAAATGACCCACCAGATTTTGAAAGCAGCAGATGCAGGCACATGGCCAGTCTGATGAGCCAACAGCAGACCTATGATGCTGGGTGCCTCTGCTCTAGAATAGCCAATACCTGTGGGGTCTGACATTGCTGGAAGAGAGACACAGATCTGTCTGCAGATGAAGCATCATGTGGGTCACCTTAATTTCATTATGGAAACTTTTTATAGTATCCAGTAAAAGGCTACTGCAGTGCAGTTGAGCTCTGGACCTGAACCCTGGTGACTGGGGATCAGATGCCTCCTCAGTCCTGAATCTCCCCCACGCAAGCTCACCCTTGGGATCATCTCTCTCTCCTCCCCGCCTCCACCCCCAACAAATTCATAAGGCCACTGTGAAGTAAAAGAAAAAAACTGAGGAAAAGAATCCAAGGAAACAGAAAAAGACACAGACTTCTAAGCTTGATTTGCATTCTCATGAACTTTGATGCAAAATGCACGTGGAGAGGATTTTTCAATGCAGCTCCTCCAGTACAGTTGGAGCCAAAGTGGTGTGCCAATGCTTTTCGCAGGGTTGTGCGGGTGAGGGGGGGAGGAGACTGTGTGGCCTTCCAGAGGTTGCTGAACTACACCTTGCACCATGCCTCACCAGTGGCTATGCTGCCAAGGGCTGATGGGAACTCCAGTCCAGTACCCTCTGGAGGGCCACTCCATGTCCAGTCTGCAGCAGGCTCCACTGATGGGGCAGAAGGTCCTCCTCTGGGGTGGGCTCCATGGGGCAGGACTCCTCTCAGCTGAGCCGTGGCGGCAAAAGCTTTCCAGAGGGTGCATTTTCATTGTGCATTTATTGTCTAGCTCTCCTAGATACCACAACATTTAGCACTGATAAAGCATTTTATGGACATTTAGGCTAATGACTTCATCAGCTCCAGAAAGTGAGTATACCAAGTTTCACATTTTTAAAGCCTCCTACTTTGGGTGGCCTTGTGGGAGAGATTCTGAGGGGAATGCTAGCTATAAAATGCCAGATAAAGTGCAGCTGTCAGCCAAGGACAAAATTAGCTAGCTAGGTGAACGGCACTGAACACCACAAAGACAGATACAAGAGACTGCAATGTGTAACAGCCTGCCCTGCAAAGAAGTTCCTAAAGCTGGCATCCAGGCTGGCAACTGAAACGACGGCTGGCAGAGCAAGAGGGAAAAATAATGGCTTGCCCCAGAGGCTCCCACCTTGAAGTAGTGGCAAGGGAAGGCAAGGGAACACACGGATGCATCTTGCCACATTGGATTAGCCAAAATATTATGGCCGTGTCTGCCACATATTAGGATGAAGGTACAGGACCTCTCCACAGAAATAATCCTGATCTTCTACCAAGCCTGGATCTCCCGCAGACAGAAAGATGCTCTGCTCAAACAGCAGTTTAAATTTGAGTCACCGCAGAGCAGTAACTGAAGTTGCCACCATCACCATCACCATCGTTGTCTCAAATCACAGCAAGGTAGAAATACAAAGACAGGCACCCGGATGGGAACCAGTGGCAGCACAGTGGCCCTGTGAGGTGAGTAGCAAAGCCCCCCCCCCCACCCCGCCCCCCAGTGCCCTGCAGGTGTAACACCTGCTGATGGATAATGTTGGGAGGCTCACCCGCTGCAGTCCCACCCCCACCCCCAGGCACAGAAGCGCTGGGAATGTTGGAAGCAGGAGGTGTCCACGGAGGCCAGAGACAAGGATTTCATCTCATCTTCCCAAAGCGGGGAAGGGACGCAGTAGGTCCCAGCACAGGACTTCTGAGGGATGGGCATCAAAACGTGCCTGCCACTGCTCAGGATCTCAGACTGGAGGCAGAGGACTTGGATGCTCCATTTTCACTTTTCCTGAGCTTCTGTCCATTTCAGGAGTGGAACAGAAGGGTCAGGACAGGATGCTTCTCAGTTCCCCAGGAATCATATGAAGGAGCTATCTCACCTCCACCCACAGACTATCCAAACATTCTGCAAAGTATGGCAGGAGGGAAAAAATTAAGCTTCTTCCTTAGCCCATGCAAAGCATCTAACTAAAAAGGAAAACAAAAGAGGAGGATTTTTTGAGCCAAATTATTCAATGGCGTTCCACTCATTTCTTACATGTTTTCAATGGGCCAGTGAAGGGGGCGGACAAGGAAAAAACGTATTGCTCAGGCTATGGCCATGAGTGGGAGAACTAAAATTTCCTTTCCATTTTCACAGTGTTCTTCTGTCAAGTTCTCCATCTTGGTCAGCTGGAGTGGAAAGAATTTGTGATTTTGCCCAGTATATTAAAATGGGGGTGATGGCAGAGACAGACAGATCTTTTACAAGATTACATTAGCTCCAGTGAGTGCCACTCTTTCCACTGTTCACTTTTAGTAATAACTTTTAAAAAATACAAGTACTTAAGACAAACACAAGCATGCTTTCCAAAATTCAACCAGAAACTGCCTTGGTAACACAATGACTCTGAAGGGCAAAACCTGCCTTCACTGTGCCCAACAAAAAATGCCTGCACCGTTTTCATAGTTTTGCTTTATTCATGTTGCAAGTTGCTCTGGCAAGACATTTTTCTCAGCTCCTCTCCTCTTGTCATTGGATCCATTTAGTCTGCTGGCAACAGCATTGCAGAGAAATTCTGCTGAGAACATCTGCTGGAGGAAAATAGGTGCAGGGGAAAGTGATGTCCCACAACCCCCCTTCCTCTACAGTCCCCAGCACCACCTCCCCCCATGTTCCAGAGAGTCCCCAAAACCTCTGTGACAGAATTTCTATGGGTGGGGAGCACGGGAAAAGGGGAGCAGGTGAAGATTCCTCCTCTGTTTAGCACAATCAAAAAACGTAGACCTGGTCAAAAGCCTCTTGCTTCTACATGCAGGAAGCTTATGTTGGATCCAGCCCATTATAAATGGTTACCTCTATGATCTGACCATCCCTCTTAGATACACTGTGTTTATTATTCATTGGAGGACAGTGAAGTATTTGTAAATTTCTTTTGAAAAAAGAAAGCAACTCTCATGCACAACTGCCCAGCAAGATTTCTTCATCATCCGATCTTGGATGGTTCTTCCCCAACTTCTCCCACACTCCAGAAAATTTGGTGGAGAAACCACACAGGGCACCGCAGCATTTTGCAAGCTCACCTCTCCAGGACAGGCGTCACTCACCTTTCTACCCAACTCTTATAGTTGGGGATGTCCTTGGCGTACAGTAGTTTATTGGAGGGAGAGTCTTTCCCTAGCTTGTGCTCAGAAGTTGAGCAGGAGTCCATGAATGTCTGAGCCACCACTGATAGGCAAGCATCAGTAATACTGTTCTTGTGAATGTCGAACACAAATTGAGGGTTCTTAATCACATTCACCCAAAAACGCAGAGGTAGACTACCGAGGAAAAGAAAGGAGAAACATATACTTAGTAACGGTATATACCGCCCCCGACAATAACTTTCAGCAGGTCAGAATCCCACAAATGGGCCAATGCTCTCCAAACCTCCATAGATGGTAACAGTTTGGAACATGATTGATCACTTTTCTGTTCTGTCCTGCCATTCCATCTCAAGACAGAGTGAACTTCCTGTAAGCAGCTTGGTATTTCTCTCCTAATAGAATTAAATTGGCTCCTTTATTAAGGGTACTTGGTGTTTGAACGGCAGCAGTTAATAGCCAAATGTTTGTGTCATGAACTTGTGCTGAACACCTGCAACCAGGCTGTGGCAAGTATTTTTTCATGGCACACAATGGAAAGCAAGATGAGGGCATTTGCCAAAGCCACTCAAGTTGACCTTGGGATTTACCAGTGCAAGTCAGCAATTTCTGCTATTGTCTACTGTTCTTCCAAAATCTTAAGAATTACTGCTAAAATGTCAGCATTCACCAAGCTTCTGAACTTCAATGCTCATCATCTTTAAACACTGGCTGTGCCAGCTAGGGCTAATGGGGGTCGTCAGCTAAAACATCTGGACTGCCAACAAGCTGTCTGCTCTGAAGCTAGAATCCACGTCCCCAGAAGTCAGAAAGCAATAAGGAACAGAACTGCAATAAGGAACAGAACCACTGCTAAAGAAGGGCAGAATTCTGACCTACTCCTAGCAGAATTCAAGTTTCCAGAAGAGCCCGTCAAAATCCATGGTCACGCAGTTTCCATAAGACACTTATTTCCTCATCTTGCATCACACACTCACAGTTTGAAGAGGGACAGTTCAGACAAAGGTATGCCATTGCAATTAAAACTAGGCCTTGGTTTCCAGAGACACATTTGTCTCGAGGTCCAAATGCTTGGCTCCCCCTCATCCGTATCATCTGGGTGCTGGGCATCCACTCGTTTTAATTTCAAGGAGTGATTTCCTGAATTTAACTCTACATGTTGCACCTTTAAAATCAGTACCCTGAAAGCAGCCTGGGCATGAGAATGCCAGATGCGGGAGGGTGGGACTCTTCCCCCACTCCTGCTTTTCCCTCCCAGCACCTTTTCTTTGAATATAGAAAGCAGAGTGATAAATCAGTTCCAAGTGTTTCCATGCTCTCGGATCTCCATTTAAAAATGTTTCTTCTTCTGCCCTGCTAATTACTGACAGTTACTGAACTATACAAAAGCAGTTTGGCTGCCATTTAACAAATGCCAGAGATGAGACTGTATGTTCTTATCCCCAGTAACAGTGAGATGATCTGAGATGTGAAATCAGCAAAGGAGCAGAAGGGAAGAGCACAGAAGGGAAATATGAAGCCCTACGTGAAGCAGGCTCCACACCACGTTGCGCTGCGCTCTGAGCAGGAGAAATCCCTGCGCTTTGGTAGCACAGACAGCAAGACTGAGTTGCGTCAGTATGACAGCAAATGGCACGCCAGCGAGAACAACTTCCCTGCCATGTTCTGAGATAAAGCCTGGAGCATCAACATTTGAATTGGCTATATGCGGTTACATTTGGTTGCTTAGGAGGCCTACGCCCAGGGGGTGCAGGTGGGCAGTGTGCCGAACTCCTCTGAAAACATCCCCCCCCCTTTGTTTTAAGGCACAAAAAACCTGACTGGTTCTGATAGATCTACAGAAATGTCTCATCTAAGAAATGCATACACGAGCCCCCACAAACCTAGCAAACGGTGAAACAGGAGTATATTTAGGTGCTTCAGCTTCCCATCTGACTGAGGCAACGTTGACCATTTGATTGTTTTCTGAAAAAGGGTAGTAGGAACCCAGATCTCCTGCAGGAAGGCTTCTGAAGCCGTTTACTAGTTGGAATGAAGTTGGCTGAATCTTTTCCCTGGCATGAACAGCTTCCTAAGAGTTGTGCCACAATGTTCACCCATAAGCCACAGATCACACAGCATGCTGCTCCCTGGAAAGGGCTCTCTAGAATCCCAGCAGGCATCTTACTTGACTCTGCCTGGAGAGGCCAGGGATTCAAGCGAGAAAGCGTGGGGTCTGCCAATGTGCTACGGCTTCCCCTTACCAATTACTCTTCCAAGTGTGCCTGACGTCATAGTCATTGATCTGGTGCTTATCAGCTTGTTCATCCAAGAAGTCAAACATGTACTTGATGGCCAGAGGCAAGGCACTCCCTCGGTGGGCTGTGCTGAAGATGGTCTCAAACAGGTCATCAACGAACTTCTGCAAGGTCCCCTAGACACACAAAAGGGAAAAATATTTCCTCAGCACTGTTGGATACATCATACATACAAACAGAAAAGCAGAAGAACAGCCAAGCAGGAGAACATCAACTGCTCCCACCACTGCATAAGGCTCCTGTGGACGCACCTCTGGGTGGCTGAAAGCACAGTGGCACACCAGCCACACCTTCTCCATACAGAGGAGAACGTTCTGCCAGGTGTCCCGAGGGTGTGCTGCATCCTGCTCAACATCTGTGAGGTGCAGGGAGATGTGCTGCTGGAGGGGAACCCAGGACTGCCTGGCCCGGGCGCCAAGAATGATGCTGTGGGCAACTCACACCCTGAGTCCCAGCCACGCCCACTGAAGCCAGGCAGGAGGCATGGGAGAGCCATGCAGCGACTTCTCAGTGGATCAGGGAGAGCAGTCCGCGAGCCCCAAGCCTCTGTTTTGCCTGGACGCAAGGCTGCTCCCTGGCAGAGTGGCCTCTCAAGGCTTCTGCTCCTGCAGAGAGAGGCACAGGCAGCAGACGTGACCATGGGGCAGATGCGTTTCCCCCACGGCAGTCCTGCAGGCAGCTCTCAGTGCCCTCAGCACATTGCTGCACACGAGTGACGGCACGCAGATGTGCAGGAAGATTTTGCAATGCTGTGGGCAGGAAGTGCCAGGCCTGTACCCAGTGGCTGGATGCATGCGAAGCAAGGGGAAGAATGCCCCCCTAAGAGTGAGGGGTGCTTAAACCTAGGCACAACTTCTGGGCCACAGAGCTTGCACACCAGTAGGAGGCTTTCATCAGCCCGTTTGTGGTCTGATATGTGCTATTTTCTGCCTGAATAAATCCTTTACATAATCAGAGTCCCTCTGATGCTGCTGAAATAAAGATATGTTTTGCTACAGATCGGTCTTTCATGTGGGGAGGGTCTGGTGTGGGGTGGGGAGGGTGTGTGCTTGTGTGCATACGAACTGTGGTTATGTCTCCAGGTATGGTGGGGGACACAAAAGTAAAGCCCACCCACAAACATGCTTTCTGTGGGATTGAATACGCTGGGGGAACAGCTAAATGATGTGTTTGCAGTTGCTGAGCAAAGTCAAGCCTCAGTAGCGAGGGAAGGGTGGGGGGTAGGAAGGGATGTGGGTGAAGATGCTTCAACGTGGAAAAGGATCACTGCTGAAAAATGCACTTTCCACGTATTAATGGACAGGCGGAGGAAAAAGAAAGGAGGGGTGACAGAAAACATGCTCAGGGAACTGTGCAGACCAATGAAGAAGAGGCAGCTGGTGCTGGCAGGACGCAATGCACCTTGGGACTGAATGTCAGGTGTGATGGCTGATGGGATACATGCCACCAATGGGGGAGCTGAACAGGAAGGAAGGAAAGAAGGAGTGCTAACACAGAGACCACTGTTGGGCAGATCATGGCAAAAACCAATGAACTGTGGCAGCCATGCAGGGCGACTTGCTGTGACATGTGAACACGCCCTATTAGTATATTTATATCCCATTATGGAACTGGAGGACACTGCGTGTGTTTTCTAGGTAGAAACCCACCTAGAACTACTGTGTAAGAATAATGTATCGTAAAAGGCTGATTCACACAGTAGACCACAGAGAATGCAACACCCTGGCATGTGTGCTGGGTCTGAGTTCAGGGCACCCCACAAACAACCACAACGATGCTTCAGCAGTAGCAGAGAGTCATAAGAAGTAACCTTTTCACCACAAAAGGAGGCCCATCCTTGTTGCATTCACCCATTTAAGCCAATTTCATGGGCTATGCCAGCCATATACAAGTCTTCAATTTAACAGTTCATACATGTGGGTGAAATTATAATTTTACAAGCATGGAAAGAAGAAAAGAAAAGAATCTCAGTCTTTAGAGATGTCTAGTTCTGTGTTGGTGTTAAACCACAAGATCATTCTTTTTCAGATGACTTCCATGCTTGGCTTGCTGAAGAGTGTGAATTCTTGCTAAGAAAGATAAACGCATCCTGCTGTCATTTGTCATTCCATACAGAATATGGCTGCTGAAGTATGAAATGCATTGAAATATGAAGCTGGAAGACTGGTATAAAACGGATGGTAGGTGGGCAGAGACTGAGCAGGATCGGGTTAACCAAGCTGAAGGCCACTTAATATTGCTAACAAAGTTGCCAAGTACTTTTCTTTTGTTAGGGAGAAATGTCTGATTCCACTGAATAGTTGACCTTTCCAAGGGCCAACAAGTCCCTGAAAGAGAGATACCGGCCCCTCCCCTAACTCTCAGCCAAGGGTGAGGTAATCCAAATGCCCCGTGAGAAGAGGGACTGCAGTTTGAATGAGAAAGAGGAAGGGACAGGGGCGAATTTAGGCTCTGTAAGTGTCCAGGGGTACTGCCTGTCTCCCAAGAGATCTGATACGGAGCCAGTTGAGTATGACTGTCTGATGAAGTGTCCAAGTGGTGCCTCCACCTATGCTCAGGCTGTACACTGTGAATAAACAAACACTACACAATAAGCCTTGAGCGACCTCTTTCCAAAGGAAACCAAATCTGGGTAAACAGCACTTTGCACCATTTGTCTGAATATACCAGGTTTGTGCTAAAATGGTACTGAACTGAGCAAAGACATCGTAGCAGCCAACCTCCAATGAGAGAATTAATAGCTCTGGCAAATTACTGCAATTTATTATTGGGTTTGGATATAAAGTAAGTGAGAGATTCAGCCATGCCACTTGCATACCATTTCCTGCAATTAATGGGGGGATTTTCAGGCTTCCATATCCTGACAATGTTATTTGTGTTTGTTGCTGTATAAATCACATATTGACCATTTGATTTACATCAGATACTTATGCAGCAATTGCACAATAGGAGTAGCTCAGGATTTGTGTCCTAAGCCACTGGACTTTTACTGTTCCCTTGCCTCGGCTTTTGCTGATGCAGAGTAGGGTTAAATGAGGGCATCTATCAAGCGAGTGAACAATGAGCACAAGGGAAATCAGAGATTGCAGTAACCAGAGGCTGGGGTTCTGTTTTGCTTTATCAACAGCTCAGATGCAAAACCAGTCCTCGCTGCTGTTTCTGGACCAGATGTGAATGGAAACATAAGCACTTAGTAGGTGAAGAGGTGAAAAGAAGGAAGCTAGGATGCTCAACATATCCCGGAAGGCAGAAGGACCTGAGTCCATGCCATCATCAGGGTGAGTGAAGCTCCCAGGCCACACAAACTGCTTCCTAGCAGTGAGCTAGGAAAGCCTTCTGGACCAGGCATTTTTAGAGAATGACTTGTTGCCACAGAAAGAGCACGGGGAACCTGGGCCATCCAGATGTTGTTGGATTCCCTCTCCCATAAGGCCTAGTCAGTGGTGAAGGACACTGGAAACTCTAGTCTAACCATATCTGGAGGACCATCCGTGCCTCAGTCTTGCCACGAAAGGTCAGGACAAACCCAGGAATTTATAGCTTCAGAGTTTTCCTTTTTTATCATTCTCTAAAGTGGTGTTGAGCTGACTGAAGGACACAGAACATCCCAACAAGGCATAATATGCTATCTCTGTATGCTCCCTGCTGATTTATGAAAGCAAGAGCAGACCGGACAGAAGGCTGACAACATAATGTGATGAAAAATCCCCAAATTTTCCAGGTCCTGGCAATCTGTGCTCCTACCTAACCCTCAGCATATTATGAGATGATTTCCTGTTTTACCTTGGTTGCAAGCAGGCGAGTCAAGTAGATTTCTGAGACCATCTTGCTGCCACGATCCCCTTCTCGCTGGTCCATGTGGTCATGATTCTTCACCAGGTGCCACAGCTTGGTGCCACTCTCCAGATCAGGCGTGATCATGGGGGTCCGGGAACGGAGGCTGTCGGGGCTGCTGGCTGTCCGGAGCATACTCTCTGTGAGGAAACCACATGCAATGGGAACCGCCTCGCCCTCCTCCGCTGACTCTCAGCCTCAGCTGTCCTCCCTCCACCTCACTTAAGCTTGCGCCATGGCTTGTCGCGCCACTGAGAGGGAGTACATGACCTGTGTGGGGCTGCCCTTTCGAATCTGTCGACAGAATTGTATTCGCTGGGTGGCTTTATGTAAGAGCAAGGGGCTCACTGGACCTTTTGTAACCAAAAGAGCTGCAGGCAAGAGTTGTCATGATCTAAGGAAGGTTCCTGCCTTGGCAGGGGTCCACGCCAATCCCCAAGAGCCAGGGTGCACTTCCCTTTATATGAAGGGGATACATATGCCCCCAGACAAGACTGCATGCGCCATACCGGCCATGTTCTTCCAAACACCGCGTGCATGCCTGTATTTGATTTCAACCCAATGTGCCATTCATGCCAAAGTCTTTCAGTCACACACACAAAATGTTCTCTGCTATGCATCCCTGGCTTGCTTTCACTCCTTGCCTTTCACTTTTAAATGGTACAAGGAAAGGGAACTTATTTTCCAAACAAAATACATCTTGAGCTTTTGCCCATCTCCAGTGCCTGCAAAACCTGACAATCCTTGGAGCATGCTGAAAGCAAAGGCAATATTACAAGATGGAAAGCTGTTTTCTAAAAATGACATTATTTTTATAATATTCCTAATATTTCTAACAAAATATGTGAAGAACCAGTATCTTAACATTCTTCTCATGTAAATGCTTACATTTTCTCAGCAAAGTAATAATATTAAGGTGTTTACAGCTACTGTCCTTCAATAAATATATTTATCTTCGTCACCTAGCAAAGAGCTTTATTCTGCCAGAGGCTTTAAGTAATGGACAACAATGGAAAAAATACACATTTTGCAAATATAAGTAAACAGGGTAAAACAAATTACCAGGCACAGGGAAGACAGAGAATTGGGAATACAATTCCTAAGGTGGCCCAGATGGTAGGACTGTGTAAGCAGCACTGAAATAGAATTCAGGGGCTTTTTGATGCAAGATGGATGCCTGAGAGAGCCGTCCTGCATTAAAAGGGGCTTGACTCAAAAAGCCGCACTGGCTGCGCACTGCTCTGCCTTTGCTTACTCAGGAGAGCTGCATTTCTTAATCCTAGAATGGTCATGAATTTCAGGCAGTAAGCAAGCAAGGGTGTTTTTTCACTTACTCACCATATCTGCTGAGTGACTTGGTGAAAGTGGAGGAGTTGGAAATGTTGTAGGCTGAATTCTGTTTGGGCACCAGTGCCACGGAGGAACCATCTGTCACCTATGGGGAATATTCCCGACATTAAGACCGAAGATGCTTTTCCACGTCAGAACCCCTGCACCTCTCATCCCAGCAATGCTGATGGCCAAACCGACACAAGCCCTTAATTTTTACTGCCTGGTCAGTGGGTTCCCAGAGCCCTACGGAAACCTGGCAAGATGGACCACGCTCTGGCTTAGTGGGGACACACAAGCTCAAGAGGCCTGAGTAAGGTGTCAAGTCAACATATCCATTCTCCTCCATCAAGAAAGAACCACTCTCAGGTAAAGATTTGCCTTCCTCAAAGTCTCGCCCAACAGTAATCTGTTTGTTCTTCCCTTGTGACTGCTTTTAAAGCTATCCTGCTTTGTCTGGAATGACTGCTGGATTGTGCATGTATGTGCTGGGTGTTACACTCCTGAGGCATTTTCATTCCAATTTTCTGGCAGAGGTCAGATCCAAAGTAAAACTGAGTACACAGCTGGCAGGTGGATTCCTTCAGACCTCACCAAGAAGAGGGGCAATTCTCTATTTTCTTGTTGCAATGAGGGAAAGCACAAATTGGGTCTTTACATGGCTAATGCCTTCTCACTTATTTTCAGGCAGGCATTCTGGAGAAAGGTGTATGTGGCTACACTCTGCTCAGCCCCACCTATTATGAAGGAAATCCTCATTTTCCACAGTGAATTAATGCCCCTTTTCACACATTTCCCTTGCTTTTAAAAACACAGCTTAGGGAAGCAGTGCCCTCGTCGGGGCACCACTGGCGGGAATCCTCTCTTGGCTTCTCCTACCCTGTCCTCCTGCAGGTGTCTTCAAAGCAGGTGTCTGAATGCAGGGAAAGGATGCAAGGCTTACACAGGAAGCCACATTGGGCCAGGCAATACTGAGATCTAAAGCAACTAAACTGATGACAAGCATCTGGTGACAGTCACTCCACCCCCAAAAGGCTGAAAATGAATAGGGGAAGCAGGAGAACACCACTTAAATCCTCTTTGAGGGAGCAGCATGTGGCTTCATCCTTCTGCCCAACACCAGCAGCAGGAAGACGAGCTGTGGCTGAATCTTAGTGGCCCACAACTCAACTTAGGAGTCAGACCCTTCCAAAAGTCTGAGCCAGCCCTTTGGATGTCAAGAAGTCCCCTGCCCAGAAAGGATCAGGGCACATCCTGGAGTCCACATCCTTTCCCTGCAGTTTGTTCTGCATTAATCTTTCCCCTCGGTTCTGTATATACAACTAATGCCATTTAGAATCACACCCATTCATCAGCTTCCACTAAAACTGTAGGAGAAACTCACAACTGCCCTTTTTGTGACTTACAGAAGTACAATTAAAGTGTGTTAATAGATCATTAATCTACATTAAGTGAATTCCAGTATGCACACAGAGTGTATAATAGATGTCTCACATTATTCGATGCAAGAATGGCTCTAAATTCTTAAGTTTATTAAACTTGGGCTGCTTGGAAGTGGCTCCTCTCCTTAACGACCAAGATGTTAATCAGGTCTCTTGAGCTGCCTGCCATCACTGTGGGAGGTCGCAACCCACCCTGTCAGACCGTCCAGTTATAGCAAGGCCAGATATGAACTGCACAAAAAGAGCAACCAGGCATGCAGGAAGCTGCCCTGCTCTAAGTCAGATCCTGGTCCATCTCGTCAGCCACTGCAGGAACTGACTGGCAACAGTTCTCCAGAGTTTCAGGCAGGACTTTTCCACCCAACATGGAGATGCCAGGGGACTTTCAAGTTCCCACTGCGATTGCCCCTCTGCCACTGAGCCACAGCCCTGCCCTCAGATGCCCTTGATTGGGTGGGTCCCTTCTTGCCCTTCCAGTCCAAAATAATGATAAACGGAGTAGTTTTGAGAGAGGAAGAGGGCAATGAAGCCTGATCCTTGCTCACTTGTGATCAGATTTCTTAGCATCCAATAGACAGCTTACCTTTACTTGTGTCTTTTCCCAGTCATGACAACTAGAAGATTTCTTTTTATTTTAAAGGAAGGCCAAAGTTTCCAGCTTGGTGCCTGTCAGTCTCTTGCACAAACTTGAATATATTCAGCCTGGACCTACCCTGGCCTAGTGCCCCCCGCAGTCCTGGCCCACGGCAACAGGAACATGGATGACAGAGACTGCCTGCAATGCCCGTCTCATCACTTGGGAAACATCTAAGCAAAGTGAACCTTACTCTAAGACACCTGCTTTCTTCCGCCATATCTCTATGACTAAACCCAGTGGACAACCACACCTGGTAATGGGCTAGAGTGTTGAGTCTTTTCCAGTCATTGTCGATCTTTGTGGTTACATCTTCATCTTGCAGTATTATCCGAGCCATCCTGCCCTGCCGCCACTCTGCACCGATGGAAGAGAAGGGCATGGGGTCACTGGGGATCATGCTCACTTTGGACAGATCACAGAACGAAAGGCATGGAGAGCATGTGAATGAGGTGTGGCACACACAGCTTTAAAAAGCCACACCCCACTTTCAACCCCCAAGCACCTTGCAAGCTGCCATGCCTAGCAGTAACTATGTTGGGGAAATCAGCCGCACATTTGGAATTGGCACTGTTGACCTGCCTGCTTCTTTCCGGGCTCCACTTGGAATAGTGAGGCATTACCCTCCCTGGGTGGTACTGGCCATTTCCTCAGCCCAGTCCAGTGAATCTTGAAGGACCAGAAATAGCCTCCAGCTCACACCCCATCTTCTATTTCTACTTCTTGTAAGCCCTCCCCCTCCCTGCCCTGTTTTTAAAGAGCACTCAGCACCATTGTCTCAGCCAACAGGGCTATGAAATGTTATTTCCTGCATTTTAGGTTCAATACTCTGTTCAGGTTATTAATAGAAAACTTTAATAAGAGGTTATTGCTCTCCTCATCTCTCAAGGTGTTACAAACGGAATCATAACAAAACGCAGAATGTAAAAGACTAAATATATAACCCAGCACTGAATACTGAATACCTCCTACATCCCACAATGATGTGATCAATGCTGAACTAGCATCAGCAAGAGCACACTAAGACGACCTCCTCCTGCGGCAGCCTGAAGGTTGGCCTTGCTCATACGGATATCATACGATAGTAGCACACTTATTCATTTAAACCAGGGGCAAGCAGCGTACAGCCCACGGGCCTCTGCAACTCCCCACTACATGGCCACTCCCTGGAATCTGTGGGTATCTCCCCTAAAACACCTTTGACTTGAAAACAAGATGGCATTCATTGTGGCTTCGGAGCTTCCAAAATGCAAATACCAGTTTGAAAACATGCCAATGTTTACCATTTTGGCAGTCCAGGGCTCCATATGCCATTTTGTTTTATTTGTATTTCCTTTCCTTTGATTTTTTAAAAATAATTTTTACCTTAAAATAATTTTAAAATTTAAATTTCCATTTCACCAGATGCAGGGGGTGGTCCAGATGAGGGCCAGGTAAGTAAAAATGGCCCCTGGAGCTTCCAAAGTTGTCTACCCCTGGTTTAAACCGAGGCTTGCCTCGCTCAGGTCTAATTCATGAGGGCTCCTGAGGTTATTCAGTAGTATGAAGCCATCAACAGGGACTAAACATTCTGGAAATGGTCTATTTAACCGGTAGGTAAGAACATATCCACAGGTGCAGAAATTTATCTGCTACACTCACCAAGTAACAAATAACCAAGAGTCTTGTGGTACCTTAAAGATTAACAGAGTTCTCTGGGAGGATACGAGTCTTCATGTTTTTGCTTGAACAAATTAACACAGGTACCTCTTTGACAAGCACAAAAGTAATTATGACCTGGTTGCATGAATCATTAGCCTTCTTACATGAAGTTTGTTCTGCACTGACCATACAGGAAACAACTGCATTCTGCAGCTTACCCAGATCCATGTCTCCTGCTTTGGGTCTCTGCGAGTATGGTACTCCTTTGTACACAGCATCCAGAAGTTTTTCCTTTACTTGTGTGATGGTGTCACAGTTTAAGACTTTGACTGGGATCTCAGGAGCATTTTCATTCTCAGGGTTCACGCAATTCAGTGTCTATACAAAAGAAAGGCGGTGCAGGGAAGAGAATAGAGAAATGAAAGAACTGCCATCAACTGCCATAAAAATAGCATAATGCCACCTTCAATTATTAGAAGAAAACACTGGGAATTCAAGTTCAGTGGAATTTTTCCATCCCAGTAATGCCTTTCCTGCTAAGAAAGAGGAGGCAGAAGGGAGGAGGCAAGAAAAGCCATGAGGGATCAGGCCAAGGGTGCATCTGGTCCAGCATTCTGCTCACGGAGTGGCCAGTTTCTCCCCAGTCAGCTTCATAGGATGACCCCAGGTTCTATTTTATGAGAGGGGCAAGAAATGTCTCTGTTTCCAGCACATACAAGTATATGTACCTGTTAGGTCTCTCCTCATTTGCCCTTTCCCCTAAATAATGCAGTCCAAGATGTTACCTTGCTTATAAGGGAAATTCTAATCTTTCTAAACACTCTTAGCATAGAGTTCAACAATGGGTTTGGTCATTACTTTGCCAAATATTGTGGTCAGCCAGCCAGATATTGTGGTAAGTTCACAAGGCAAAATGTGATGCCATGTCCTTTTTGTGCTCCTAGCAATCCAAAGCACATACACTACCTCTGAATATCGAGCATCTGTTTTTTGTCACCAGTATCACCAGGCTACCATGTTCCTGAGCAGTTAATCCCAAGAGGTAGAACACAGTCTAATGGAGAAAGTCCTCCTGCTATTAATAGTATGAACAGAAAAATTAAGCCATGGAAGGTAAGTGTATGTGTCTATCTTTCAAAGTCAAAATTCTTGTTTTTATATACTTCTGAGGATCCCAAGTATATGAATAGAGGGCTGTTACATTGAAAAGCATGTTAATTGGTCTTAACTTTCTCACCTCTCTTCTTATGTAATTTCTTTCTCTCCTCTCGCTCCAATCCTGTTAAATGCCTACACAAAGCGAGGTCTTTAAGGCTCCTACTTACTAACCAGCATTTTGTAGTCAATTTGTTGACGGATGAGCTTGTCTTCACTTAAGGAGTAGCGGGCCTCTCCAGTGATGGCATCAATGGGTCCCTTTTCCATCTGCTGTTTGATGGCACAGTACAACATGAACAAAGGTTCACCTGCACACTCCTAAAGAGGAAGGAGGAGAAAAAGGAGAGGGACATCAGAGACGATGCGCAGCCTGCTATGCAAAACCTTGTGATACCCAGAACAATCAGGAAGGGTGAGCATACTTATTCCATACCAAATGTGCATCAGAGGCTGATTTTATTCAGCTTTATTTCCATGCTGCAATAATAAAGTCCACTCTGGAAAGCATTTGCTGGCTGAGAAGGGCATTGTTTAAATGGATTGGCAGAAGTTACCATTGTTTGAATATGCCAAAGGTTCGACCAATGTTTGTGTTCTGTATTGTCTTCAGAAGTTGCTTGGCTTGCTTTGATACGGGATCTCATACACAGCCATTCCTTGGATATTTATCCTAGTCTCCTCATAAAAACCTCCCTTTGCAAAAAGTAAGCTTAAGTGAATGGTTTCCGCTGGCCTTTTTTATATGCCACAGTATTTTCAGAATATGTGCTATTTATTAATGACAAGGTGTATTTTAGGAACAAGGCAGCAAAATAATAATGTGTGAACTGGATAAATACAAGACTTTCTCAGAAGATCACTGAGCTATGGGGATTTTAGGATGGATGAACTGAACACATCATAATGTGTAATTTGCTCACCAGGTTATGAATCCAATGTTTCAGATCAGAAGGAAGTTCTCTGTTATTATGAGATTTCAGTGTAATAACAATTTTTAATTTACAGTAATATTGGGTGGTCTAAGGTATTTTACACTTTGTTTTAATTTAAAAAAAATTCTGTAAAGAGCCTGAATCATCACATTATTTCTGAGGATGTATATTCTACCTATTCCAAGGTTTTTAAAGTGTTACAGCTCCTGGTAACATTTTTGGGTGATTACATATCGCAATATACAGGAACAATTTATTTTGAAAGTACACTACCCTTCCTAGCCTATTGGAGAGGCACTTAGCTTTAAAGACGCTTTTGAATAGAAAGAAGAACATGGTTAAAAAGCCTTCTAACTTTTATTACTGTAAGTTTATTAAGGAAAAAACCCCTCCCTCTGAACCTTGAAGAACACACAAGGCAAGTACTGAAAATACACTCTATCTTGACCTGAATTATAAAAATGTTTATTGAATCAATAATACAGTCAATAATTCAAACTGATTGAAAGGCTAAGCCCAAGTGAGCATAGGAACAAAAAGCCAGTGTATAGTGACATCAAAGGAGAGCTTTCACTAAGCAATCTCACAAATGGACTTTCACTAGTTATCTGAAATGAGAATATGATTTGCCACAAGTATTCAATTGAATTCTGAGCGTTCTTTCTTACAATTACTGGATTGGACCAATGGGCCATATAGCCTGACATCCATCTCTTACGACGGCCAAGACCACCTTCCTCAGAAAAGGCTACAATTCATTTCCTATTGTTCACACTCTGCACTTCAAGCAATATAAAGGTTTGAGACAAGCTGTACATAAATATGCAGTACATGATATTTTAGTTAGAGACTGCTCCTGAATTTTAGCTCTGTGAATTTCTCTTAGCCTTTTAAAGAAGGAATTAAGTCACAACTACCAGGTTCTACAACTTTCCATAGCCATAAGGATAATGGTCTCCTCATTAAATGCAGATAATAAATATTTCTGGTTCTTTCCTCTACATGTGTTGCCTGATAATTTTTCCATTGCTTCATACTGCAGTGTCTCTACTGCTAAAGGAAACAAATCAACTCATGCCATTATTGTGCCACCTTGTCATCTCACCTACACTCAGTCTTTCTGGAACAACAAGAAAAGTGCTCAGATCTCAGTTATGAAGATGTAGTGATGTGTAAGCATACATGTAAAGATGAAAGGAAAAACTTAGCAGCAGAGCAGCAAAAAAGGGGGGCTGCAATCAAATCCCAGTCCAAGGAGTAACATTCTATGCAGCTGTCTATCATAAACCTGGATCGTATGTGAGATGCAGAAGCAGGAAATAAGGCATGGAAATTAATAGGATGAGAATGTCTTTCATTTCTGAAGGAAAGCAAAGGGATTAACAGAAGGCATCACTCAGAAAACTGTTATCAGAGGAAAGCAATGTTGACTTCAACAGTGTTTGATCAGAACTGCAGTGCTGTTAATCCACAGCTGGTTCCGAAGGTTGCAATATTACCTTGTGCTGCCCTTATCCCCAACTAGAGTGGAAATGAAAATGAGAAAGGCAAGAGCTAAAATCTCAAGTGACTTCCATCCTGCCACCTCTTTCCCTGCTGGCCACCATCGCAACAAACTACTTTGGTGCAAAATGTGCCTGCTCTCTCTGTCACCATATGTTGTTAGCATCTCGTTAGCATCTGCAGTAATTAAAGAGACAGCTGCTAACGAGCAGGAACAGGCATACATCATCCCTAGACCTTCCGACAACACGCCTGTCTTTGAAATTATGTTTCATTTGCAAACTTGGCTTCATTAAGTCTGCTTGGGAAAAGAGAGAGAAGGAGAGAGAGAGAGAACCAATGTGGGTGCTACGCTGTTTATTAATAACTGTCTTGTCTCCTCATAATGCACAAGCCAAATGATGACCGTACGTCAACAGGCACATGTGGCAATTACACTCCAGCCAGCAAATATTCTCCCGCTTCAGTCTTCCCCTCCCTCCTTCCAGGTGAGGCCAAAAAGGAAAAGTCTTTTCCAAGGAGGTTTTTCATTGTTTATAAAAGCTGGCTACAAACTGTTCAGCCATGCAGAAGCAACACAGGCAGAGAATAGATTGAAGATGGCTCCTTGGTCACATCTCGTTTGTCTGATGCATCCTCCCCGTGTGCTGTTTCCCACCACTCTCTGTCAGCTGAGGGGGCCTGTTCTACCTCTGGGCTGAGGGGTCTGCTTAGAGGCACTCAAGTGAGTGCTGGGATTGCTTTTTCACCTTGGAGGATTAACCCATTTCAGTTCAACAGGTATTACACCTCATATAATGGACAACAAGCACACAGTCTGATGTTGGGCAAATATGACTTCATGTTTTCTAACTGCTCCTGAGCTTTCTGACTCTCAGCTGCAGGGCTGTGTCTGACCAAGTGCCATCACCATGCAATAGAAGAAGACGACATTTCTATAAGAATGAGTAAGTTTGGTATCTGTTGGAATGGGAAGTGGAAGGATTCAGTGAAGATCTGCTGAAGGGCAGATTGCTACACCCACACAAAAGCGCAATGGCACACCCATACCGTTGGGTGTATCAGGCCGCTGGCTCTACCCTAGCAAAGGCAGCGATGAGCCCAGAAGTTGAACATTATGCTATAATGGGTTTGCCATCCATTTGTTATTCAAAGGAAGGATATCACACATTGGCTACAGATAATTTGCTTTGGCACTGAACCACTTCTGTCTTCAAAAACACAAGGATGGAATTATATCACCATCTTTGATGGCTGAACCAGGTACTCCATGGGATTTGTTGGGTCCTGCACTGCAGCAGCCTACGATAAACTTGCCTTTAGGCTCAGTTCATGCAGAAGACATGAATGGTAAGCAACATTTCTGGGTTTCAATCCTGGAGACCGAGCCTTAATTGTCACTCTTGAACATTATGTGCATTATGTGACCTTAGTGCCTGTTGTGATCTCCACTGTACAGATTAGGTACTTTGTTCTCCCTGTCCCAAGCTATTTTGCAGGGGTGGGATGGATGGCTTGTTCTTTGCTATGCTAGCTCTACCAGAACTGTAGGCCCTGGCATGCTAGCATGATGGGTAATGCAAATTGAGGAATAATTTAGTATGTTTCCATCCCTCTGGATACTCACTTCATCACTTGCACGCACATACACACCCAAGCACCATTTTGCAACTCCCCTCCAGAACCTGGCAACTTCACACAGAAGTGACAAAAGCCATAGCAGGCAAAGTTAGTTCAACATCTTCAGGTAAAGATCTTAATGTTAACTCAACAAGCTACTCAGCAGTGGTGCAGAAGAGACTGTGTACAGATCTGCTAGATGAAAAGTGCCCTTCAGCTCTTTAACCTATCAGCACAAACCACAGAACCCACCAATCTGAGAAACTGGTGTGTACAGAGATATAGTACTTTTCCTGGGGTCACTGAAAGTCTGTGCTCAATTTTTTAAGGACACAGAGCTAAAGATGCTATTATATCATAGGGCTGAGAGTGACTGCAAAGTCAATATGGGATGAGCTTTTAAAAAATGAATTCCTGGCTCTGAGCCCACTTCCTGACAGAAACGAAAGATGCAAAGCAAACAACTGAGCAAAAAAGAAGGAATAGAAATTTACAACCCCACTGTGACAACTTGCTGCCCTATCTGATCATGTGGGGTGGGAGTGGGAGAGAGGCTGGATAAAGATGACATGTCTTCCCCAACCTTGTAAGTATGGTTATCCTGGCTCTTAGCATTTTAGCAGCTTTCTTCTCCATTGTACTTCGCACAGCTTATTACACCCTTGCAAAGTTCTTTACAGAGGTAAAATACTAGCCATCAGCTAGGTATCATGAAGCTATCTCTTTTGACTGAAAGATCCTTTCCATGGTCCTAGGCAGAGGTCTTTCCTAGCCTTGTTACCTGTGACGCTTTTATATAGAGACACCAAGGGCTGAACCTGGGATCCCCTGCATCACTATTCTGCCAGTGGCCTACTGACCCTCTCTTACAAACGACAGGGCTGAGATCTCACAGTTACATTTAGGGAGCTAATACCCTGCTCTTTTCTTTACAAACGGGCATGGAAACCCCAACGTTACCTTTGCTCTATTACCACCAGGCCCTGCTCCTAGGCCTGCTTGTATCTACAGCTTTGCTACTTCTGCTACATAGCTAGGGAGGAGGCGGTGGACTACCAGACAACATTTTCTTGAGAAGAGCTTTTGCTTTAACAAGGGTTCAGAGAAACTGCAGGATGCAGAGGCATACATAAATGTTGGCATTTGCATGTGAGTGCCCTCGCATCTGTGGAGAGGAGGGCCTGAGGCAGCACAAGCCAAACTAGCTAAGGCTCACAGTGTCTTATTGATGAGATTTAGCTCATCAGGCACCTAATATTGTGCATTTTTCAATGCTCCTCTTTATCTGTTTTGCTCTCCCATTCCCTGGGATGGCTCATTAGGAGACTGATGAATGGCGCTTGAGGCTTCAACAAAAGCAACACTGCCAGGGCCCGCTGATTCCATGAGGCCTGCCTGTCCCCACCTTTGCCACAAGAGACACTTACGAGGGAAGGAGGAAGAAGGGAACCATGATGAGCCCATCCTTCAGCCATGCTGGAATCAATATATAATCTCCCTCTCAGATGCCCAGCGAGGTTTCTGTTCTTTTTGTCCTCTCGCATGCTCTGATATGTTATGGCGCAGCTGTCACAAGGAGTCTGAAAATCCCAGGTGTCCCTGTAGTGTACACCTGCAGGACCCCACTCACGCCAATCTGAGAAAAACTGACTTGGGTGGCAGGTGTATAATCTGGGCTGTGTTTAGCGTTGCAAGGCAGAGGTGCTCCTGCGAGGTCTGCCTGGCAGGAAGTGCGTTAAGCAGCAGATACGGCTGCTCTTCCTTTTCTTTGCCCACCAACAGCCCTTGCTTTGGCCCCAAGGACACAGGCACAAACCATCCTGCAAAGAAGCAGTCGTCTCCCACTGCCCCTGCCTGCCAAAACTGCATTTCCATATGCAAGCATTTTCACTGGCCTGATTTGCATGCAGCTCTACTTGGAGGGGGGCTGGGGGTGACATGTGTTTCCCTGCTAGCGAACGGCTAGCTGCAGAGCCTGTTCCAAGCATCGCAACCACGTCTTCCATTTTACAAAAGCCTGCAATCCTGATCCCCCTGCAGTTACTCAGATGAATGAACAGAGATCAAGGGAGCGATCCTGTGTGTGCTTAGACAGGAAAAAACCCTCCAACTCCCAGAATGTCCCAGCCAACCATGCTGGGAAATGCTTAGAGTTGTACTTTTTTCTGCCTACACAAACACAGGACTGCACCCTAAGTGGGCCCCTTAATACAGTAAAGAAAATGTCTGGCAAGACATGTTTGTTCAACATGTTACCACATGTTAGAATTAGTTTCTGTTCCCCAGTGTCATGAGGCAGCTGCTCCTTCTCCCTCCTATTTATACTCCAAGGTCTCTAAGAGATCGGCCTGCCTAAGCACTGCCCTGTAAAGGCCTCCAATGTTTTGGGCATCTTTTCCCCACATCTTAAACCTTCGTTCACAGGAGTTGCTCCCGCTGTTTACAAAAATGCTCTGCAATATGGAACAAGGAGAAAGTGGGTGCCAGTGGACAAGATCCATTTGGCACAAAGGTGATGTAGTGGCTGAGGAGCTCTAAGGCCAGAGTCTGAACGATGAACTTAGCTATGGAAGTCTATTGCAGCAGCCTGACTGCAGGAAATGCTCCCTACTGTTTTGTGGACTAAATAGAGTCATTCTGTCTCTCCCGCACATCGAGCTTGCCATCTAGGCAATTTCTGATCAGTCTGGTCTGTTTTTTTAATTGCCTGGCACACTGCCATTCCCAGCATAACATAATCCAGTAAAAAAGTTCCCTTCCCACTCCTTTGTTTAGTATTATCAGACTTATGACACCACTGCCCCTGGATCTGCAGCCTAGCTGCAGTGCGGCCGCATGACTTAATAGGGTGAGTTGGGATTTGGTGCCTTTGGCGCATCCAAATGATCAGTGCTGTGATAATGCTGTTCCCGAGACTGCCTGCCAATGAGACAGCTTCCAGGCAGCAGTATGTGAACACGGAGCATCTGTTAGGGGAGAGGTTCAGTGGTCAAAAGCAGCCAGAGGTTATTCTGTTTGGAAGCCTAGAACAAGGCTAGCTGCAAGAGACTGCATGTGCACGTGTGTGCAATGGGAAAGGTTCTTGCAGAGGAGGTATCCTTAGATAATTTTATCTTCTTGAAGAACTGGGGAGGGAGAAAGGAGAGGGATAAATGTGAGGAATCTCCTAGGACTGTTGAGAAGCCACCCCTCCTCAAAGCAACCCTTAGGGCTGATCCACCACCAGTGACTCTGTGCCACAAAGTCATGCACTTGCTATATGTTTGCAGCTAAGTACCCAGAACTTTCACATTGTTGGACTGCAACTCCCATCAGGCCTAGTTAGCATAGGCAATGAAGGATGACGGGAGATACAGTCCAACAACTTCTAGAGTGCCCTATGCTGCTGGTCTCTGGTTTGCAGGATTATTCACTGCAGCAAATACCAGGACCTGAATATTCTGGAAAGTACCTGCCACACGAAGGGTGAACTGATTCTTGGTACCGGGGAAAACAGTACATTGGGTTTGGCATCAGCACTGAAAACATACACATCCTCCCCATGGGTCCTGGTCCAGAGGAACGGATGGCGCCAGTACATTTTATTTGGGTGGCAACATCTGGCAATGCCATATTCCAACAGCATTAAGTCATTTCTTCCTTTATCCTGCTTGGAATGCAATTTGTCTATTTCAAGAGCAGGGATATTTTTGAATGAAAGTTTTTTGGGTTTTTTAAATAGACAGGCTCCTGGTGTCTCCCACACACAGTTTTAGGAATATTTCCAGACCACCCAATATCACATTCTCAAATTTGTGAATGACTTTGCCTGAATTCTGTGCATAAAGGAAGAACTGTTGACCATGACCATATCTGGTCTCAGCAGTTTTGCAACTGCAGAATTTGAAGGCTGCTACAGAAGACTTACCAAAAACTGTTTCTGCCTATAGAAACATAAAGATAAGTGAGAAAGGAGCTAAGACTCATCCAAAACTTTCCCTACAGTTGCGAGTTTGCAGAAGTGCAATATATATTAGCCCTTTCCCTTTCTCTAGATTTCCAGCCTTTCTTCCAATAAATGCCTTTCTTCCACACCTGTACCACCATGGTTATCCCAAGCTGTTCTCCCAGATAGTCCCTGCAAAATCCCAAGATAGTGCAAAAGCGGTAGCCAGAGGTAAGCAAACCTTCTGGTAAACAAAACCAACTTAAAATAATGGTGCTAGGAAGCAGAACAAGAAGAATGTATTGGATACAGTGCTCAGCTTAACAAAATGGTTTCGGCTGCAGCAAAGCACTGTTCTTCACACATCTTTGCAAAATGATGTACACTCTGCACTGGCAATATACTTTTATGGATACAGGCCATCCCTAGACAGAAGCAAAGAGTGAAGTGCATGTAAGCGATACCATAAATTACGCTTAGTGGTGATCACTTGCCGTTTGCATAGCTTTCAGCTTGCTTGGAAGGGTTTCAAGCTTTTCTTTATCTTAATGAGGGACAGTATCCCACAAAAAACAGCTTTGTGCCAAAATGACTTGCTGAGTAAAAGCCTGGCAGGATCCAGTGCGGCATCACTTTTGACTGACGAGAAACATCTCTCTGCAACTGCCATTAACCCAGGTTTCCTTATGAAGGATGCATCAAAACTACAGCTCCTTTGACGCTCAGGCTTCAGCTGCACCCATCATTCATCCCTGATGCAGCAGCTCATGGCTTGGAGCTAGGCAGTGGCTGCAGGTTCTTACCTCCATGGAAAGCCCCTGGATCCTGTTCATGCCTACTGATTGTGCTAGGCAGAAAAGGCCAATGAAGAATGTATTACATACTAATGCAGCATACAGTGCCTTGCTATAAAAGGAGGAGTGGGGGAGAACGACAATGACCAACCTTGCATTAACTTAACAAGACACACAAAGATTCTAGGAAATGAGAGCCACAGCACTCTGGCTGTCTTAGGCAGTCTCTTCCTTGGTGCAATTATCTATTCTGAACCTTGTAGCAGCTCCTTCCCTGGTCAATCTCTAAACCTTGTTTCAGTCAACATGTAACTAAGGGTGGATCTTAAAAAGAACTACCTGTCTCTGCACCAAACTGATTTATCATGAAGATGGACAGAGGGGTGGGGTAGCAGCAGAGTAGCCAAGTCTGTGTTTCAGAGCAGGTCCTAAATCTCACATGTTCCCTGAGTATTCCTGGTGAAATATAAGGATCATATTTTTCATACCTTCCATCAAAGATAGCTAAAGGCTTTACAGGAAAAATGGAAAAGCAGTCAATATTGTGACCCTAACTTTGCAGAAAATGAGGACAGGTCAACTATACCGAATGCAAAACCAGGCCCCTGAATTCCTGATTCCACACATAGTACTCTAGCCAGTGCAGTGTTCACCCTCACTGGATAAATTTTTCTAGATAAACTAGACAAATCAGACACCCAGATCTTTTGCCTAGCATTGTAAAAAAGATGCTCAGCTCTTACCTTTAAGAACTTGTACAGGAGGAATGTGAACCAGTTTGTCAGCATCTTTTCAGCCACAGACTCTGTCCTGCAGAGGAGGTAGAGAGTAAAGTGTGATGATAGCAAAAATCAGAGTCCTCTGATCTTCTCTCGAAGTCTCAGATCTTTCATGTCTCTCTCTTAAAGGCTTTAAAGGTCAAACCTTGAAAGGAAGATACCTCAAAGCAAAGAGAAAAGTAGCCAGAATACTAGGGTTGCCATGGCAAAATCTAAAGATAGTCTTAGCAGCAGCCAATCCCACTTTGCTCCCACAGAGCTCATTAGAGCTAAACTTGTCTCCTGCAGGCCTCAGCTGTAGGAACGTAGTTAAAAAAACAAAGTTGACCCAATCTCCATCAGGAAATCTCTCCGGTGATGTGAGGTACCTGAGAGGGTCCACTCAATGTCCTTCTGGCACATGGAAAAATGCTCCCTTCATCCCTGCTCCCTCTTCTAATGAGTTCAGGAATCTGTATTTTCACAGAGTGGGATTTACAAGACTCCCCGATACATTCCAGCCAGACAACATTTTTTAAAGCAGGCAGCTGGTGAATGCAAGCAATTCTGAACAGATTCAAAATTCTTTTGCATATTAGTAAATTATCCCAGTTGGGAAGTACTCTGCAATGACTATAAATCATTTATTGTGTTGTTAATATTAATACTGAAACAACTGCAAAGAGCATGCATATCGGAATTTTCTGCCCAGGGTATAACACAGAAAAAGGAATCGCATGAAACAGTAAGCAGGCATGGGTGAACAACCTGCTATTCACCTCAGTGAATTATCTCTGTTTCCCAGTCATTCCTTTGAGTCTATAATTTCCAAGGGTGTGCACATGAGAGTGTGCATGACAGTAAGAATCAGAGATGTGAGAAGTGCTCATAAACAGCGATCTTTCACTCTAAAAAGGCAACAAATAATGCCTTGCCTGTTCAAAAATGAGGAAGAGATATCGGGAACGTTTACATTTGGGGGGCATTGAGAGGGAAATATATGCTGATTGAACAGCTGCATATTTCCCATGCGCAAGGCTTAAATTGACCAGATATGTTTTTAAACAAGAATTCTTTCTTTTGACTGCCGTACAAATTACACATTAACCTACGAGGGGCATTCAATGTATTCTCCGTATCGGGTTGATTTACTTATTTCATTAGCTAATGACATTATCTGAGGGTATACATGCAAAATTTAAAATAAGTGTGATCATTAGTTCCCTAGTAATCCTCAGTGAAAGACAACCATAATGACTGACGTGACAATGTTGAAGAAAATCGAGCACCGCGCTGTGATGAAGTTCCTTACAAAACAAGGAAAAAGTCAAAAACTCATTCACAAAGAGATGGTGGCCGTTTACCAGGACTCTGCACCTTCCTTATCTATTGTTCAAAAGTGGTCAAGTGAATTTAAAAGGGGCAGAGAAAGCACTGAAGACGACCCTCGCTCGGGCGGGCCAGTAACTGCCAGTACAAGAGAAAATGTGAAAAAAATTGAGAAACTTGTATTGGAAGATACCTGAATAAAAATCAAAATGTTAGGAAAGATGACAAACCTATCCATTGGTACCATATTTACTATTTTTCATGACCATCTTAACCTTTCAAAGGTCTGTGAAAGATGGGCGCTGCGAATGCTCATGGCGCCTCAGAAACAAGTGCGAGTCGAGTACTATAGGGAGTTCTTAGAGCTCTGTGGTGAAGATCCATCGAGTATTTTTGACCAGATTGTTACTGGAGATGAAACTTGGGTTCATCACTATGACCCTGAAAGTAAGCAGGAGCCCATGCAGTGACATAAAAAAGGTGCTGACCCTCCAAAGAAATTCAAAGTCACTCCATCGGCCAGAAAAATCATGGCCACAGTGTTTTGGGACTCAAAGGGAATTTTATTGATCGAGTACACGAAAAAAGGTGAAACCATAAATGCAGCATCTTACGCAACCACCCTGCATAATTTAAGAGAAGCAATTAAAGAAAAAAGGCGGGGAAAACTGACCGCAGGTGTGTTGCTTCTTCACGACAACGCGCCCGTTCACACGGTGCGTGTTTCGAAGGCTGCTGTGTGAGACTGTGGTTTCGAATAAACCACCCACCTTATAGCCCAGACCTGGCCCCCAGTGACTACTACCTATTCCCGAATTTAAACAAAGATCTTTGTGGAAAGTGATTTTCCGACGATGAAGAGCTCAAGGCGGCAATTAACACACATTTTTTAGACAAGCAGGAAGGGCATTTTTTACAGGGAATTGAAAAGTTAATTTCTAGATGCAGTAAGTATATTGAAGTTATGGGGGATTACACTGAAAAATAAAAATTATTTCAATTTATTATTCCTTTTTCTTCATGCTGATACCAAGAATACATTGAACACCCCTCGTATATAGAGCCTCGTTCGATCCAGTTCTACGGATGCTACCAACTGCTGTCTGACTGCAGGCATTTGCCAGGACATTGACCAGACAAAACTCCAGATTTTGGTCAGCAATAAGGAAGCATCTAAGAAAGACCTTTAAAAAAAAACCAGTCCCAATTGTGGACATTTCTGCTACACAAAATTAGTGTGGGGAGAGGAGTAACAAGCCAGTGATGGTTGCTCCAAAGGGCTGTTTGGACACTGATGAAGTGGTTGCCACTGGCAGGGGCTTTTTGCCCCCCTCACTGAATGGCTTGATCACTGCTTTTCACAATAGGGCGGGCTTCCCAATTTCAGATGACACAACAACCTCTAGAAGAAGCCATGAGATTTCTGGGGATCTTGCTGTCTCAAAATAAGGCACCCTGCAGGAAGCCATCTGGGTTGCTTGCTGTTTCTGTGTCATGTGAACCCAGTCATTTAGTAATGTTGGTTTTCCTGTAGAATTTTTGAAATGGGTCCAAATTCAATACTTAACCCAAAGAGCTAACATTGTGACTAATGGTCTCTTGTGAGCTCTCTTTTCCTTTGGGGGAGGTGCCAGGCAGGTATGTCCACTTTCTCCTTTGATTATTTCATGTTTCAAATCCCTGGTGTGTGCCATTACTCAGAACAGTAGTATCCACAGCTTAGTGCATGAGTGTTTAGAATTTAAAGTTATTATGATAATGATTTTTATTGTTTATGTCAGAATTTCAACCATCTGTTCCAGCTTTGATGCAGATGATTAGAACATTTGGTGATTTGTCTGGCTATTCAATTAATGTCTGAATTTATGCCAGCTGGATATACTATGTCTCATAGTGTATTAACTAACTGGAAATTCTGATGGAGTCAAGATCTTACCAGTCATTTGGGAATATTTATTTCCAGTGCTCTATCTCAAATAATCAAGGTAATTTAAATAAGCTCATGGCTTTTTAAAAATGAGTTTGTGAAGCAAGGTAAGTACACTCAAGTTGAATACAATACCTTAATTTGTTTGTTGTATCAGCATGCCTCTACCTAAACCTGGAAAATATTATCAAAAACTCAATGCTGAGTTTTCTAAATTGGGTGGGTGGAGGTCTCCATCATAAATATCTTTGACAAGGATGCAACTGAATACAATTTCTAAGTATGAGTAAGGATTATTTGTATGGAATTTTGGACTAGATTGGATTTTCCATCTTGGTTAGTTTTGGAATCTTCCTCTTTGGATCCTCCATTCAAATGGATGCTATCAGGCTCTTGGCACATTAAAATGAAGAGGGTTCCTCCCACAGTTATAGCTGAGAGATTTGTGGTATACAGTGTCATATTCAAGTGGTGTAGAATATCATATAAATTCTGTTTTGATCCAATTTCTCATGCTGAATTGACTGCAGGGAAATCCAGCTTTAAAAATGGTGATAATGTTTTTGTGGCCAACTTGGATGAATAAGTTGATCTTTACCTTAGAAAGATTAATGGGTGCTGCTGATGATTTTTTGTCATTCTCAGCTTTGCATGCCCAATATATTTTGCCTGCTTAACTGAGTGGGAATACTTGCAAATGCAGTATTTGCTAGAAACTAGGTTTGGCTCTGCTACTTTTACAGTTTCAGAGTCTCCTTTGCTATTGGAAGCATTTATTAAGAATGATCATATATATCTAATTCCAGTTAGGGTGGTCATGCAATAGTACGAGAATGCAATCCCTTTCAAAGCAGATTCTGCCACATCTTGGAGGTGGCTGTTCTGATTGTCATGACTGCATAGGAATGTTTGCATTTACCTACTCTATAGCCAGATGCTACAGGAGATTGCATTCTGCAGTACATAAATAACAGGTTTCACCCAACAGGTATGTGTTAAGCCTAAGAGGCTTGATGCAAAGACATCATGTGACCTAAAATAAGGGTAACAAGGAGGGCAAAGGGGGAAGGAAATGGGGAGTAACCTTTGGAATAACTGGGCAAGAGTGAAGCATTAACCCCAAGCCCAGGCCTGAGCCACTTCCTTCTAAACTGTGATGCATTAAACTATGTTCTCCCAAAAACTGCCATGCTCCTTGTTGGTATCTTGCAATCTGAGCTGCTTATTCCTTTCCATATTATTTTGTGTTGTTTTATTGAGAGACAGTGCAATGGTTAAAGTGTTGCAGTGGGGACCTGGGGGATGTGGGTTCTATTTGCCACTTGGTCATGGAGCTCACTGGGTGTCTTTGGGCCAGTCCCAGACTCAGCCCAGCCAACCTCACAGGGTTGTTGCTATAAGGATAAAATGAAGCTGACTAAGCCACCTAGATTCTTCCCAAAAGGAAAAAAAGTGGGATATTAAATGTCATAATAATAATAATAATTATATCAGAGAGCCTCCTGTTGTTACGGATTACAGTTCCCATAATCCCGTTACTGCATGGCCAATTATCAGGGATTTGGGGTATTATCAGGGATTTGAGGTTTCATATTGTGGTTTTGGCTGTACAATGTCCTGAAAATTGTTTAGCGGTGTGTGCACATGTCTTGTCTGCTTATATGTTTCTATGTCAATGGTTTCTATATTATGTGCATTGTTTAAGGTTTTAATCTTTGGAAACCACCAAGAGAGCTTAGGCTTTGGGGCAGAAGAGAATTGCGAGAAATGAAATCACCTAGGATCTGATAAGAAAGCTTAAATTTATTTGAGTGAAGTGTTTAGATTGTAAACCTTAGCCTTTACTGCATTCAGGGTAACATCAAGGACAGGATTGCACTAGGAGAAAGAAGGAAAGGCAGAACAACAGATATAGTGTTGCATGTTTAATAATAGTTCTTGTTCAGCAGCTGATGTACCTTTCAATATTCATTGGCCTGCAATGCAGGAAACCCATCTAGCTCCCATTTAAAAATTGATGGAGCAGGGCAGATGCACCGTGAAGCTGGAACACCGCCCCTGGCTCACACTCTTCCCCCACCTGTGTTGAGCCACTCTGCTCAAGAAAATCTGCTTGGCTGCTATATTACACTGTCCTATTGCCTGGTAAAAGTTGCATGGATTCATCTTGAAGAAACAAAGCAGCTGGAAAAGAGTGAAGGAAGATCCCAACAATGCATGAAGCAAGCAGGAAGAGGATGTGACCCTCTTCTTGGACCAGTGGAGGAATAACAGCTTGCGCCATGCAAGTTCCTCAAACCAATCCCCACAAAGCATCAGACTGCTTAAGGAGCAGCAGGAGATAGCACAAAGTTGTTTTGTGTAAGGGATGAAAAAGTTTGCCCATTAACAAGCCTGGGGTGAATCAGGATCATCTGGAGGGCCTGTACAGATACTGTATTAGTAAGACAGAGTGCTGGTAGACAGGCAGGAATGCTGGCAATGACGAGCTGCTACGGCAGCCTGCAAGCATTCTGAAAGTAAGGCGGCTACAGTGAGAAGTGGTACATGCTGGCGCAAATCTACATGCAAATCTCAAATGATAAGTAGCTTTAATTAACTGAGCAGCTGCCATTTCTAGCACTCAGAGATTTCAAAGTGATGCCAGCACACAGAGCGACTGTTCTCAGGCTTAAGAACAGACATGTGACATCGACCAAGTTCTGCAACAAAGAACTTCTTCCTAATAACCACCAGATTTCAAGGCAGCGGCTCTTCTCCCATGAACTCTGGTCTCAGATACACAGGAGGGATTGTGCACAGGAAATATTTTAAGCCAGAGGTTCACCTCTGGCTTCTAAAATTTTATGTATCTTCCACTGTTGTATCCATTTTTTGCATCTTAAAGGCCAGGTTTTTTTAAAAAAAAATTAAAGCAAAAATAACAGGTTAATGAATTTCTATCCAATAACCATTTTTGCCTACCTGCAAGAGATCCAATCAGAGAATCCTAGACTATTCAAAGACCCATTGACAGAGTAAGATCCCAACTATCTTAGCACTGGTTCCATGGTCAAAGTATTGGCACCCTCCTTGATGTATCCACCAAATTCCTTTAATTTGCTCTAGGGCAGCTCCACCGTGAATGATGATGACTATTTCTTTGCTACATGACAGAGGAGACAACTTAGGTGTGGCCAACAGGTTGCCATCCTGCCAACACTCCTTACCTGGACTTGCACTTCACCCTATGGGAAATCTGAAAAGGAGACACGTGAAGCATGCACATTTCTGCCCCTTACATACCAAATACTAAAGCTGCCCTTTGCAAACACTCCCTTAAGTGGTTCTTAGGCAAATACTCACCGCCTCAAGAGCAGTTTTGGATGGTTCTTGCTCTCTAAGTTCTTCTCAATCAGGTCTGAGAGAAGCTGCTTGAGCACTCCGGTGGCATATTCCATTTCCCCTTGCAGGGCTGTCATGATTAACGAGGCCACATTGCCCCGGTCCCTCATGGAGAAGCTCCGCTGTGCCTCCAGGGTACGAATGAAGGTCAATAGGAAATGCTTTTTGTTCAAAAGCTGCCCAAAGAGGGTCAAAGACTTCTCCACATTTGCCTGTACCTGCAGGTGAGAAACCGTAATTACAGTCAGATCCAGAGAATTATGGAGCAGGCAGTAGTATCACAGAGCCCCTTGACAACCCAGTGAGATCAGGGAAGCCTGGGTAGAGGAGCAGCCCAGAACCAGTACATGAGGCAGGGAGCTCAAGGTCACAGGAACATAACAAAACAAAGCCAATTGTCCAGGTACTCGGCTTTTTACTCTGGCAGTGACCAACAATATCCCTTTAGAAGTTAAGAACCATCTTCTTTGTCCTTCCACATAATTACAGAATTGCGACTTGGGATTTGCTTTTCAAGCCTGATTTAGGGATAGTTTGTTTGTAACTGTACATTTGTAAGCCATCCCGAGATGCCAAGGCATGTGGTGACGGGACATAAAAGTTTTAAATAAATAGTTTAGAACATAAAATAGGAATATACATGGTCCCCCAAGAAGTCCCTTGCAATTGTGTTTATTCAATATGCAGTAGGGCTGCTTTTATCAAGGAGTACTTAACTTCAGACACTTTGCCACCATGAACATATTTAATGTCTCTACTTACTGCCAGTTCATAAAGCTAGATGCTTTATGCCTTATCTGCTTGGACATCCCAAATATTATAAACATAAACTCTCACTGATTGTAGCCATGAAATATTCTATACATTTTCTGTAAGGGTGCTTACACTGAGAGCTAATGTGGCATACAGGTCAGGGTACCATGGTAGACTGGACTTGTGAGATCCATCTTTTAGTCCTTACTCAGTCATGCAGCTCATTGGGTGACATAATTCTTAGTCTAGCCTAGCCCATTGTCACTAATTCTTAGTCTAGCCTAGCCCATTGTGAAGTTAAATGGGGAAAAGGAAGAGCAAGAATATTATTAATGTCTTAGGTTTGTTATAAGAAGAAAAGCAGGATACAAATAAAATAAATTTAAGTATTCCCACTTCACACTAAATTTAGGGCATCTGAATGCCATGGTCTTGACCGCAGAACAACTTCAATACATTCAATGCTTTTTCTAAATGAACTTTGTTCAGACCACTGCGCATGTGCATTTGATCAGTTAACATTTCTCCCTCCACCCCCCTCCTCAATGCATCTTATTAGTTATCACTGTACACAATTCCTGAAAACTCCACACAAGAAAAGATACAACTGTAGGAAATCATGAGGATTCCTTTCTATGCTGGTTTCCACCTGCATTCATATGGACTGGAAACCAGTAAAGACAGAAAAGATGCTAATCAGAAACTGGAAAAATGTACATATACCCCTATGGGAATTAATTTTAAGGGCAGGTATGGCATCCTCTTAAACCAAATAAGAATGTCAAAACAATGTTTTCTCCTCCTGGCCCTGGAAACATGAGTCAACAACATTCTACTCTTAGGTACTGCTGCCAAAACAGATCCATGTCTTAGCAGCTGGAAAGAGAGACAGATACATATACTGCTATTCGTAGCTAGATCAATCGCTGGGTCCTTCAACTGTTACAGAATTCTATGGCTAGAAGAGGGCTCTGATGGAGGGAGGTAGACTGAAAGGGCTCATTTTGGTTGTGCCCAGAACTATGTTCACGAAAGAGCATCAGGAGAACTTTCTATCTTCATGGAGGACTGCAGAAGGCCACAATGGAAAATGCAAAGAATATTTTCAGTGCAGCGGGACTGTCCCCCTTCCTAGTTCTCTGGGAATGTAGGATTCATTCATGGGATCAGTCACTCATCAGGCTACTGGGCTCTGTAGTTCTAATGCTAGCACATTCATAAAACCCAGTCTTGTTTCTTGAACATTTCCATCTCACTACAGGTCACTCTTATTTATTTGCATGGCACAGTGTGTATTTATTTATTTGAATACTTCTATACCATGCAACATACTGCAATCCCTAAGCGGTTCAAATTATAGCAAATACGTGTAACTGCTTCCTTTCCTTTTTACTAGTGCTTGCAAAGATCATCAGAATCTCGCATGTAGAATATTTGCATGAAAACATATGAGCATAAAGAAGAAAAATCATCTTTCCCATTCCTGGCACTCACAGACAGTCTCTCCTTTGTAGTTTTATTTAAAAAAAAAACATACAAGTGAGCTGGGCATCTTCTTCCTATGTCCCTAAAAAGAAGGGTTGCCAAAATGCTGGATTTGGCTGGAGACTAATTGTCAGATTCCTCCTGGCTAGATTTGAGCATAGCAAACTGTCCCTACAGGAAATCCTGATCTTCTGCACTTTCTACATATGGTCCTAAATGTTACCGTCTGTCCCTGAGATTAGCAATGGCATTTGAAGCAGGGCAGTTTATTTTTAACTAGGTTTGATACATCAAAAGGGGCATTTCCTTCCCTTCCACATATATTTTCCTTTCCATTAGATTGGTGCACCATCCTCAGATTTTTCTGGCTGTAGCAGCCCCATCTCTTCTGCTGTCCCAAATTGTCCAGCCATGAAGCAGAATATAAATTATGAAGTCTGAGCAAGCAATCTGGTCTACAGATACTCTATTACACTGTAGATACAAGTCTGCTTTGCTTATCTTAGTGCTTTATACTATGGGAACACTTAAGAGGAAATGGGAAAAGGGCTGTTTTATTTGGGGCCATCAATAGAATCATAGAAGAGTAGAGCTGGGAGGGGCCAGAAGGCCATCAGATATAACCCTCAGCTATTGCAGGGCACTAAATTACATCATCCCACTCAGATGACTGTCAAGGCGCTTTCTGAATGTCTCCAGCGAGGGAGCGCCCACAATTTCCCCAGGTAATAGGTTCCAATGTGGCACTGCTCTGACAGCCAGGAAATTCTTCCTGGTGTCTAGTATAAATCTGGTTTCTTTTAACTTGAGTCCATTATTCTGTGTTCTCCATTCTGGACTGGACAAGGAGAGATCTTGTTCTCCCTCTTTGTGACAGCCTTTCAGATGCTTGTAGAGTGCTATCATATCACCCCTCAGTCTTCTCTTCTTTAAGCTGAACATGCCTAGTTCTTGCAATCTTTACTCATAGCCCCTGAATCATCCCTGTTGCTCTCCTTTGACCCCTTTCTAGCTTATCTGCATCTTTTTAAAACGAAGGTGCCCAGAAGGGGACACAGTACTCTATATGAGGTCTGACTAGTGCGGGAAGCACTCACTTTATAAACCCACTTTGTATTTTTGGAAAGAGACAGAAATCCCTGACAAAAGAATGGAAAAGTGTTATATTTGCTCCACAGGCTCTCTTAAGGAAAAAACACCTGGCAGAGGTCGGGGTGTAGTTTTGTGGTTAACAGCTCCAGGTTCCAGCCAGGGATTGATGTTACCAGCACTCTCCAGTCACAGTGGGGAGGGATGTTGAATTAATAGATCCCTTCTGGAGGATTTTTTTTCCTCAGTGTGTTTTACTAGTTCTTTGTGTGGCCCTGGGCAAAGCTTTCCCCTTACCCAGACCAATCCTTTAAACCTTTTCCGTAAAATCGTATCCTAGAACCCTTTCCTAAATTCAATCCCTTGCATCTTAAAACAAAAATAAAACAAAAAAGTCCCTTTTGCATGTCTGTTCTGTCGTGTGTTAGTTGTTAGGCGCAAGTAACTTTCTTTTACCCTCAAGCCTTGTCCTCCCTCAGTCTAGCCACTGTCACACAAATTTAAGTTCAGGGACCATGAATGAGTTCTGATGTGGTGCATCCTTCTATGTCTCCCCCTTTCTGTCTCTGGGGTGTGTGTACTCGGCAGATCTGCCACAGACGCAAAGACACAAGGCCCATCCTCATAAGAGGACTTCTCACTGCAGTCCCTGGCTCACTCATGGGATACATGCCCAGCCCCTCTCCTCATCCTGGGTTCTAACTCTGGGTAGATAAGCAGAGTTTGTGGGTTAAGTACAACACTAAACAACCCACAGATGCAGTGTTCCTGGGTGGTTTTGCCACTCCCATTTGCAACAGGAGCGCTGATGCAGTGTGTGCCAGCAAGAAACTCAGGGATTTTTTTTTAATCAGTGCTTTTAAAAAAAGCAGCTCTTTTCCTGCCTGCTGTTTCCTCACTCCTAAGCTGCTCTTCTTCCTTCCCATTTCCAGGGCTTCTAAATGCTTGTAGAGCAAAGAGACACAAGTGAGAAATGGGTTGTCTGGAGGAAAGGTCAGAGTATCTTTTGACTAGTGTGGCTTGGTTGTTCCTAGCCAGGATCTGAACATTCAGAGTTGCCTAATGCTCCATTCATACTATTTCTCACAGATGGTTTATGCAAGGCCATTTCCCCACATTTTCACTGATGAAAATAAAACAAGGTCCTCCGCTCACTCAGAAGCCATGAAGAACCGATAAGATGGCATGTTCATATCTGGGCTGTGTACTCCACTTCCAAAATCAGCAACACTTGATAAGCTCAGAAATTGGTCCTGTCCTACCCAAGCGATCTTATCAGAATTTCGCAGAGCAAATGGGGTGGGGGTGGTGGCGGAAGCACAAAACATCTGCCACATAAATGATCTCTGCAGGCTTGGCTTGCCAGCTACAACTCTGAAAGCAACGAAGCAAAGTCTCCCTTGCAAGCACACACCCTTTTCCTCCCTGCCCCACCCCTCCATCTCCCAGACTGTTGCTCTTCTCCTCCTTTTTGTGATCATTAGCAGAAGTAAATGAACAATAACTAATTAAGCATTTAATCAGGCTTTAAATTTGCACAAAAGCAATGAAATAACAACCCTCAGACCCCAAAAAGAAGAGGAGCTGCTAATGACAGCGCTTGCACTTGGCTCTGGATTATGTTTTTTGCATGCGTGCACATGTAGCAGGAAAGGAAAGGAGGGAGGAGAGCTCATGCTCTTTCCTAGTCATTTGCAGTAACTAGCATTAAACTCATTCTAATTATAAGATGGCAAATAAACACAAACCTACATCACACTGGGCTTTTAAAACTGCAGTTGTTTTTTATTTAATATAGGCGTTACGCTCTTGCAATTTCACTTTCCCAACCAAACATATATGGCTTCTCTGGAATGAGGATTATGGCTGGGAAAGGCCGCTTACGTCCTTT